AGTATTTAACTGATCCTGAGGGCAATACTCCCTGATAATGATAGATATTGGGGGAATGGGTTGGAAAGGCATAGCATTATAATCATACATCACATCTAAAACATTCATTTACCATGGTATAAACCCTAACATTTTGCATTTCCAACTAATTTTGTTCACCTATGAGCTCCATATAGCATCCAGTTTTTACTCTTGATTGTACTGACGGTGTTTAAATGCAGAATTTAGAAAAATTCAATTGTCTGCCATTCAACACCCACTGGTATTAACGACTTCTGGCCTCAGTTAACCAAGCAACTTGGTGAAGAACACAGCGGAGCGTTTAGCAGCTTAAAAATCAGGTATTTGAAAACAGAGCTAAAATTAGAGTAAATATTGGACTTGGAATACATCAAGTGCACGCAAACAGGATTCCCTGTGAATGCTAATATTGCTCTGTGTCAACCAAATGTGTAAATAAACCACTCTTTGCTAACACTTTATAAGGTGATAATATGTAGTGTAGTATCTACAGCTTGGTGTGCTAAAACCCAAGTGGCTGAAAAAACTAATTATAACAGCTTTAACAAACAATTCGATGCAACTAATTTAGGAGTCTAGATCACTGAGCAAGTTGATGTTGAAGTTACAAAAAACAACAACTGCATTTTCATTTTTTTCCCATCTCCAGCAGTTTATTGCCTCCTCTCTTGTGCTGTGATCCTTTTTTCCTTGGGATCATTACCACTTCATCAAATCTAAATTAAATTTGATGAAGCTGTAAGGATCTAATGTAATCTAAATTTGATTGGAAAGCTTATAGAGATCTAATGTTAGTCCTGTTTGAACCTCCATTACATAATTTGTTCATTGGACCTGCAGCATTATGTTTATAATTGGAAGATAAGATAGAAAAGAAAAAAAGAATAGGTTGATGCAATAATACAACTGTCAATGTTCTAATACTAAGTGCTAAAAAGTCTTGCCTTGAGAAGCTGAGCGTGAGAAAAATCCGTTGTTTCACTGGCTTCTCTTCTCCTTGGGTGTTCTTAGTCGTTCAGTAACGAGCAGTCAGGTATCATTTAAAACAAAGAAGACTTGGCGAATCAAGTGTAATCAGTAGGACAAGTGTTGTGTGACACACCCAGCATGCTTCATTAGGCTGCCCTGTTGACACAAACAGAGTGGTGAAAGCTGAGCCTTTGACTAATACCCCTAATACCCCTAATTCTCGTACGAGGAGGGCAAATTAGCTCCAATTACCCCAGTGATTTGTAGGCGTGGAACTGGCTCGTGGAAGTGAGAAAACGATGTTTGAAGGGAAAAGTGAGGGAGAGGGTTGTGAGGAGAGATTATGATTGCTGTATGCCTCTTTTACTCACCTTTATTGTTTTTTTGTATTTCCTCTCCTCTCTTCTCATCTCCTCTCCTCTCCTCTCCTCTCCTCTCCTCTCCTCTTCTCTTCTCCACTCTTTTCTTCTCCTCTCCTCTTCTCTCCTCTCTGTCCTGATCTCTGTATTTATATAGTTTTGTGTTCAGACAGCTGGTGTTGTGTTGCTGATTGTGAGACTAATCATACGCTCAATTACTCTGGAATGTGTAGCTGGGCCATGTTATGACTGATCAGCTTTCCCACTCTCTCACTCTTTCTTTTCATCTCTTTTTGTGGACTCTCTCCAGTTTGCTACTCTCTTTCAGCATCTGTTTTCTGTCTCACGTTCTCTTGCTCTTTCTTCAGAACTCAGTTCAGTTTGATTGAATTCACTGGTTGGTTAAGTTTACCAAAGAAAAATCTGAAAAATGAATCACATGTACTACATAATAAGCTATCTGTTGTGTTATTCCTTAGTCACTTCATCATGTGTGACAGCAAGTTTGTTTGATTATTTCATTGAAGAGTAATTTGGCTCTGGATGTTTTTTGGCATGAAAAACCGAATGAGTTAAATATAATCTCAACTTTTGACCATTCTTATGTAAAAGAAAAGTTTCATTTTACCAGTAAAATATGTTGGTAATGTATACAAATTACATCATTGCATCTAACCAATAACGTAATACTGAATGATATCTAATCAGAAATCAGCATGTTTCATGACTGTGGTATAAATGAGTGCAACTCTACAGGAGGGGTACAGAGGGGAGCAATGACAGGAAGTCCAGTCTGTGCTGGGATCATGAAAGGTTCAACTTGGGCACATCAGGTCAGAAGAAAATATGAAAATGAATGAAAATAAAAGAAAGAAAATGCAACTATTTCCTATCATTTCTTAAATGTAATGCAATTCTCTGTTACAGAGAGGAACTAGATGTCAATGACAAAAGAGGCAATCATGGCAATGAGAAGATGAAGATCCGAAGCCCCAGATTGGCTTCGGGTTCCTCCTTTTCTTATTTGGTGTCTTTTGTGCATGGAAACATGGTTGTGTGTGTGAGATAGATAGTGTGTGTGTGGGCTTGTAACTGGGTTTTGTCTGACTCATTTAATTAATTTTATTGTTAAGATAAAAGCATAAAAAGTATCAATTTGGAAAGATATACCAGACTGTGTTCATAACAACACAAATAAATGCCGTCGTAAAATGAACATTGCCTGAATCCCTCAAAAACGGGTGTAAGACAATGTCATCAGTTATTGGTTTGAAGATCCTAAATATCAGCACAAAACATTGGCTATTTAAACTTTAATTAAATGCAACACATGCAACATTTCCTAAATCTCTGACTGCCCCATTAAAAAACTGATGTATTAATTCACTTTTATACAGCTTCTGGCTCTGTATTGCTGCAGCTCTGTGTTCTTCCTGCAGTGGAAGTGCCTGCGGTGATTCTCCAAGGCTGCCAGTGGGATGCCTGTTAGCATATAAGTGCACTACATGCTGATGCAGAAGCTACATGCTAATGCTAATTACAAGCTTTGGAGGAGAGGAGAGGAGAGGAGAGGAGAGGAGAGGAGAAGAGAGGATGTACTTTGTTTGAAAATCTTAAATGTCACCTTTTTCTATTTTTCTTCTCGCCGAGTCGTCTTTAACTTCTTCCTCTTCCTCTCTGGGAATCTCAGAGGCACAACATATTAAATACCCCGATAGATGATTTAACAGAGAATTTCATACAGCAAATTATTATGCATAATTATAAAAATGTGTGTTTGCTGACACATTTTCTTATTGAAATAATTTGATTAACATGAACATTGCAGCCTATTATATTACTGCTAAAATAAACCCAAACAGGAAACACATTGCAGTATCAACATTTTAATAACATAACAAACCAGAATAAACAACCCATTCTTAAGTGTCTTTTATCCCCATGTTGTTGTTATACTTCTGTGTCAGATCATGTTGTTCATACTTATTGCTTTCCATTAATTAATATGACGTAATAGATGTTGGCAGTTACACATGTGGTAATCCACTGAATGCCTAAAAAACATTTATTGGAGCAACATTATCTGACTTTTGTGGATTGTAGTGAACAGAGGCTTAACCTTCAGCTGTCCAAATTCACTGTGGTTCAGAGTGCACTTGATTTCCCATTGCATTTCAGAAAAATCTTATTATCAACTGCAATGCAACCCAATTCACTTAGTGGATTGGGAATATATCGTTGATAATGAACAGATATGTTCAATTCTGATTGTTAAATTAACTTTTTCCACTCAGGTCTTTCATTTCAATGCCCTATGATTTGTTGATTCTTTGGATGGAAATGCAGCTGCTGAGGTCCAGATTTGAAGTTCTGCTGTTTAGTGGAAATGGAGAATAAGACGTGGGAGAGGAGGCTGGAATGTTAGTGGGCTGCTATGCTGATCAAACCACCTGGTCAGACCACTCACTACACACACACACACACACACACACACACACACACACACACACACACACACACACACACACACACACACACACACACACAGCAATGCTTGCACAAACTCAGCCAGCTGTTGATTATATCAGGATGGGTACAAATAATGCTGGTCCTGGCACTGGACCGAGTCTAAAATATTTAGTATGTAAAGCAGCTTGAGTTGTTTAGAATGCAGATCACTTCAGACCATCATTCGAACACTGATCTCCAGGCTGTCACAGTGAATATGATTTTAAACTTTAATTTTATGCATAAGATTTGTAAGGTTTTTATAACAGAATAAAACCAAACCAACCTTACAACTGTGGTCCCTGAAATCTGTCTTTTTGCGTGTCTTTGAATGTCTGAGTAGTCTGCTACTCTCTGACAAACTTCCTGTCCAGACAGGAAATCCATTCTTTGGTGTGTGTTTTTGTCAGTCTGGGAGTGTGTGTGTTTGCACATGTGTGTTTGTGTGGAGACAGACATGTCATGGTATCTTACAATAACTGGCTGTGGAATGCAACTCACTTCCCTTGGTACTACAACTCTGCTCCTCTGTGGTCCATAATGTACAATGAGTTGTTTGTGCATGAAACATTAAGTTCTGCAACAAGTCTGTTTTCTTATTTACAGCAACAGCCCGGGCCGGGAGGGTTACTGTTCTTGAAAATAAAGCCATCCGTTATTGGAGAATCTCTGTACTGTAAAGGATTAGCACAAATCTCCACCTTTGCTGGTGATAACATTAACCTCCATTTATCCGTTTAACAAACTGCTGTTTCTTCAGTTCAGTTATTAATAATCTAGTTTCTGTCAAACCATCTGAATATCAGGAGGTTTGATGTACATCACAATCAAGTCCAGATCTGCTGAGTCCTTAACTGAGGTTAAATGACTTAAATCACTTTTCCTTATTTTACAAGAGACACCCATCATAAAATCAGATGTAATGGGAAAGTTATGTGTAATAAGTAATATAATAAATTTACACTTGTTGGGAGCAGGAATTTTTATGAATATGCTGTCAGTAATTAACAGACTTTTACTTACATGATACATGATCATGCGTCATGTGATTAATACCGTGTAGAATCTAGAAGATTTAATTGGAAGGGAATATTTAGCTTGAATTACATATTTTTGTGAGGAAAAAGAGCCTTCATTTGCAAATATAGTTCAGCAATTTATTACTTAAACATACAATATCAATATTTAAACTTTACACTACACAACCCGCAGAGGCAAAATAGTAAAGTAGCATTCAGGCAAACATTTTAGCAGAGGTCATCCAGCAAACAACAACTTAGCATGGCAAAACTGTACAAAAAAAAAACCATTTACAGTCTTAAACAAACATTACTGTACAAAACAAAATGTGGATCAAAATCAAGCTCTTGAAACAGAACCGCTTGGTCTCACATTGCATGAAAAAGAAATGGTGTTTGTGCCGACAGAGAAGAAGAGGCCTCCCATCCTTTAAAGCTAGTAGTCTGTTTGAATCATTCTTCAAGGGCCTTGGCCGGCAGCCAAAGCGTTAGATCACTGTCATTTAAATCCAAAAGCCTGAGTTCATATCCATAATACGTTGTGTGGACAGTGCAGGACTCATAGTCTGAGCTACAGTAAGCCTTCTATCTACATTATACATTACAGTGCTGGTGTTGCAGCCATACATTGATTGAGCCACATAGTACGTCCTTTTTGGTGTGAAATGATTATTATGGCATCAGTTAGAACCAAACTGATGTCTTTGCTTTGGTCTGATCAAGAGCTGCAGGAGAGAAAGAAACAGGGTAAAATTAGTACTTGTATAACTTAGTGTGACACATGTTTGCAAGTCAGTGTATAATTCTACTGTGTAGCATTAGTTTTGTAGTATCTACCTGAGTCATACACCTCCAAGGATCCATGGAGGGCGGAGGGGGTCCAGGTGACAGAGGTAGCCGCAACAGGGCTGTTCCTGCTGTGCTCCATCTCCGTCTTCACCCCCTCGCTGTGTGGGGAACTCCCCGTGCTGGCAGTTGGCTGGTTCTGGTTTCTAACACCGGGCAGCAGCAGAGGATTGAACCTGGGATCCAATGTCGGGCTGTGGGTCGGGTATGAATGGAGCATGGGGTGGTGGTGCCGGGTGTGGATGTGTGGGTGGGGGTGAGGATGGTAGACATTGTGGACATTGGGGTATCCACTTGTGCTCTGGGGGCTCAGGCTGTAGGTCCAGGTATCGGGGAGGGTAGCCGGAGGCGGGAGGCTGGCCTGGGAGAGCACGTGGTCGGCCCACAGAGCTCCATCCGGGTGGTTGAAGGAAACAGGGCTGGAAGAGAAGTCTGGGTGGACTGAGACAGAGACAGATGGGAGGCAAGGACTGGTCTGGGATGGATAGGTGCTGTTCCACACTGAGTTGCTCTGACCCTCAGAAAGAGACCCGCCATCTGAAACAAACACATCACAAAGATTTTAGACTCTAAATTAGCTATGGATAAAAAAAATCATCAGCAATGACAAAGAGATATTAACCAAAGGAAACCAAAGAGTTGAAACTATTATCTCTGAGAACTATTTTAGCCATGTAACCCTCACCTTTCCATAAGCCAGCGGTGGCTGAGGCTGATGGCTGAGTCACTCTGATCGGTTTGGTCTCGCTGTTGAAGGTGCTGGACTGACTGAGAGCCCGGGAGAAGTGCTCATCTACCACATCGCCGATGTCCCCTTGGAAGTAGGTGAACAAAACACACCGGGAGCTCAAGTACTCTGCCTCTGCTGGTTGAGGACTGTCCTTCAGCTCTGAATCGGATGTGGATCTCCGGTCTGATTCGGCCCCTGGTGTCGCAGGTCCCTGCCGGAGGCCCTGGTCCCTAGAAAGCATCCCTCTTCCTTGCTGCTGCTGCTGCTGCTGCTGCTGCTCCATGCACTCCTGCATCTTACTGTAAACGCTCAGCCTTCTCTGGAGGAGGAGACAGGGAGAGATTAATGACAGATCCAACTAGATTTTAATAGAATAGCAAAAAATGTACATTTTAGTTGTAAATACTGTTTTAGATTAATCTATTTCTATGTACTTCACGTCATAAATATCTTATTTCTAAGTAATAATTACGCTCATGCCATGAATTCCTTTCTCTGGGAGCAGCTTGGGAGCTGTGTGAAAATGAGTTTCCTTTTTCCCGTAATGCATTCCAACTATTTGTAAAGCTCGATGTGCCTCATCCACATTCCTGAGAGACTGACGGGCTGTCATTACATCACCATTTGACCGCAGGATTAATAGTTCCGTGTCATTACGCCTGACCTGAGGTGAATACCGAGCCTCAGACTGGAATTTAATCATTCAATACTGAAATTTAAGTTAAGATGTGTGTGTGTGTGTGTGTGTGTGTGTGTGTGTGTGTGTGTGTGTGTGAGAGAGAGAGAGAGAAAGAGGCGTGAATAAAGTTTTAAGTGGTGTCCTGAACAGAAGTCAGGCAATATAGAAAACCCTACAGAATAGCCTATTCCTACAATAACTTAAATTTAGAGCAGGTGATATTCTAAAACTTTACCCAAAGTTAGCGACCTAAACTTCAACACTTTTGTTTCAACATGGTTAAACAACTGTTGTTATTACCGTTTTGATGTTCAAGTTTTGGACACATAGAGCTCACATTTGAGCTCTTAAGTAAAAAACATCCTCTACTCAAATAAAACAAATCCCCCCCCCAAAAAAAGGTAAATGCTGAATATCTCACCTGTTGTTGCTGGTGATGGTGGTTATAGTACGTCGCCTTGTACGCCGCTGCAGGGAGATAGTGCGCTCCATAGCTTTGGTGGTACATCACATCCAGGCAACTCATAGCGACGGACCAGAGCGGTTAATAAGAGAGAGAAAGTCGGAGGAGAGAAACGCGCACAACACAGCCGAGAGGGGCAGCTCTCCACTCCTGAGACTTCAGACGGGCTGTATCCTCCGAGCCATCGGTGCCTCCATATATGCCCAAACGCATACAATGGCCATGTCGTCCAGTTTGCATACAAACAATGCGCCTCCCGCTGTGCGCTCCACCAGCATCACCCGGGGCCACAAAATGGATCAAAACGGTATGAGACAAACAAACTGTATCCTTAAAACAGAAGAAAAAACAAGCTTCTCTCACAAGTTTTCAGAGCGCTCCTGATTGGGTGAGTATTTCTTTCCCTCCTTCTCTCTCTCTTTCTGTTTTGGAGGGGAGTTATATTTAGAGAGGGTTGGGGCCATCTACTCACGCCCACCAGGGAAGGGCCTGGTGGAGTTTAGCAAGGCACTAAAGCCATGATGGTTCATATTCATCATGCAGGTCATATTTGAGAAACAGGTGCTAGCCAGTACGATTTAAGTTCTTCAGAATCACCTTTTAAAGTTTTTTTTTTTTTTTACCTTTGAGATAAAGATTAAAAATGGCTACAGCAAAAAGCAAAATGTTGCTTTTTATTGAAAAATATTGTTTCTTCTCTATATAAGAGTGTGTGTTTATGTACCATTGTTAACCTATGGGTTGCTGCCTCTTTGTCTTTGTATCTAACATGTTTGCATGAAAATGAAAGTTGCTCAGATTACTGATTACTGCCATATTTTCTTTCTCAATGTTGTTTTAACTTTTTATGCATATCAGACAGGTCAAACAGGAAAAGAGGAGAGAGAAAGGGATAGCCTATGAAGTGCAAAAAAGTTGAAATTGAACCATGGATGTACATCCATTAACTATTCAGCTACCATGACACACTGCTGGTTAGCAGTTTTACCTCTTTGAATGAAGTTCCCTGATTGACTGAGTTTGAGCTGTTTTGCTGCCACCTGTTGGCGAGGCCAATGACATGGCACATTGACCTTTAAGGAGTTGTAAGCTATATTGATCTTTAATAAAGTGGATAAATTAAACATTGAAGTGAACAAAAGCAATACAAATCATGGGTAGACAATGCAATGTATTATAAGTTGCTCAAATTACTTAAGACTGTGTCCATCAATACTTCCTGTAGGTTAAACCCTTCACATATTTTTGGACGATTTGATGGCACAAATTCCAGGTGTGTTGCCATTATAGTGACTATAGAAACATGGAGACTTTTCAGATCATATCCTCCCTTCAGTCCGTACACTACTAAATTTTTAGTTTCTTCCAGTCCATTTAAGTCAAAAATATGAAATGAATCAAATCTGTAAATCCGTTTCAGCCTCTTGTCCCCCATTGAACTACAGCAGGAATAGACATGCTGTCAAGGGAAGAAAGTCCACATGACATTACAAGGTAATTTCCCAGGAGCAGAGAAGAGGAACTAATCAGTGACATTTTTGGTTACAAAAAGAAAACCTGAGGACTCTGCAGCATGATTGCCCACAAAATAACAATAATTAGTTTTCTTCACAGAAATTCTTAAAATGCTGAGATATAGGTCTACTGTGTATATTTCTTAATCCCCTTAAAAATCAAAAAGGCATCGCGACCCCATGTGAAGCTTTGGCGACCTCTAGTGTGGGTCCCAACCTCAGGTTTGGAACCAATGCCTTAACCAAGGCTGGTTGGTCAGAATTACCCAAATCAGAGATTTCAATATAGAAATCAACATTAAAAGAATGAATCATTATGACAGAATAAAAACACATTTTCTGTATCTATTACAAAATATTGTTAAAACCTAAACCCATGTATTAAAATAAGCTGTATATATACTGTATATATATCTCCAAACCCACCTTAGTTCTGTGGCAATTTTTATAAAATGATTTTGCTTTAAAACTTATCTTTGGGTATGGTATCCTCTTTGTACATTGCTAGTCACAAGGTTGGGCCACATCTTTGTTCGTTTTTTTATTATGCAGCATATAACAGAATATAACAAAGTACTGTATCTCAATGAAAAACTTAATCTCACGTGCATGAGATTAATCAGTGCCCCTTACTGTTCAGTTCAGCATAGAGTTTGCAAGTAGTAAGGACAAGTGTTGTTTGTTTTATTTTTAATTTTTTGTTTGTTTACAGCTCTGCATTAACAACTACTTCTCGTGACTGAAATGTCTTTGGCCTCAGTACCATCCTTATGCTCTTGAGGTCTTCTTGGGGATGAGGCTGGCCTGGATGTTGGCATCACTCCACCCTCCATGATTGTCAATCCTGCCAGCAGCTCTGCACAATTTTTTGATTGCCAACCAGTTGTGGTGAGGAGCAATGCGCAGCTTCTTGTCATCATGGCTGGCGTTTCCTGCAAGCGCCAGGACTCCCTAACAGCCTCAAGGTGTACTTAAACCACTCAACATAATTGCCCTTCTTGAGCAGCCGATGGTTGCAGCCCTTTGAGAAAGTGTTCCCACTACCAATTCTGTGTTTAGTCTCCAGTCAGTCCAGAAAAAAAGTGATCCAAACATATGCAGGCTAAATCCAGTTAAATGTAATGACTATTTTTTCACATCTCAAGCCAAAGAAGAACAAGTAATTTAAAGAGTGGTTATGTTGCAGAATTTGGCTTTTAAATATTAAAACATGAGAGCTGACTCCATCTTATAATGCACAATTTCACAAGTAACAAATTATCATCCCTCTCATGTTACCATACCAACATTTTATTTACACTCACCATTACTTTACAGTTCTCTCAGTGCAAATTGAGACCGCAGGGTGCTGCAGAGGCAGATTGATGACACCTGGCTCCTTATTGGAGCTGATCTTCTGCCTCACATATAGTAAATTGTAATAAATAATACTGCAAGAGGAGACATTTGCCTAGATGAATTTGTTGCAGAGGTGTAAAATTTGTTTTTATGAAAGATAATTAGATCGTTTATGAGCCCAGTGCAACTGAGTTTAAGACTACTGGTTGTCTTTGAAGCCTCACACATACTGAAAATATCCACACAGCTTTCCCATTTCCATTCCAACACACCATACATCAATCCATCATGTAGTCACACTAATAGATCACTTGGCTTTGACACAGCAGGAAGAGCACAGGTGTTACTAATAACATTAAAGATGGCTTCGTTCGAGTGGCACAGTTAGCCACGACAGCGTGACAGTTAAGCAGCATGCACAACACCAGGAGCCTGAAACTGAAGCAGCTACCAGCCATAATTCATTTTATTATTGATACCTGTCTTTTTCCTACTGTGACGTGTCAAAATGAATAAAAAAAAAATCAACAGTTCAGTCCATTTTTGCCAACACAAAGCTACATGTATGCTATTTACACCAAACACAGGCATGCAAGACTTTAGGTTTAAAAGGTTATATAATGTTTTGCCCTTAGATCCATTTGAAAATAAAGTGATTATTTGCATTTACGCATAAAAGGCAGAGAAATTGAATCATTAATAGAGTTGCTTCATTTTCTCATTCATTTTCTCTTCTCATTCTTACCTTTCATTAGTGTGTACCCCCCCCCCACTGTGAGCTCTGCTGAAAGGTAAATGTTTTGGAAAGACAACAGGAAGATTTATTATTTATTTCCTGGACCTGCCTTGCATGCTGTTTGTCAGGTTTGATACTTGAGTTGCCACATATGAAGGGACCCCAGAGACTATGGCAAGTGAGTAACAGTCTCATCATTTTCACTCATGTTTCATTCACTTTGATTTCACAAAAGGAGCATGAATTATTCAGCCGCAAGCTGACGATGCGATTAGACATCGAGGAAGTGGGGCAGCATTTTGAAAGAAAAGAACTTACACAGGAATTACCAAAAAAAAAAAAGGTTGAGTCTTGGTTAATTTAAGAAGAGCTCAGCTGTGTCGATCAAGGTCAGTGATGAGAAAATGTTTCAATTAATATTGCTAGAATCAGCAGTAAGAGTGTATATTGTGGTCCTTTTTAATGTCTTTCAGTTGTAATACTTGAATTGCTAAAAATACTCATTGTGTACTCCAGAATAAATTCAATGATTTTTAAAGAATAGTTATAGTACCATCCCTCTGCCCTGGTAGCTTGCCTGGTAGAGTGTGCACCCTATAAAGGCTGAGTCGTTACTGCAGCATCCCGGGTTGGATTACAACCTGCAGCCATTTGCTGCATGCCACCCCCCCTCTCTCTCTCTTCTCACTTTTCTGTCACTCTTCAGCTGTCACTACCAAATAACAACAACAACAAAAAAAATCTACTTAAAAATAGTAACAGCCAATGTATGGTCACTCACTTCTACAATGAATAAGCAATCAAAAAATATATCACATCTATCACAACAGTTTCTGGGGCAGGTTTTAATAAACAGTCAGAATCAGCCCCATGAATCATTCAAATCATACTGCCACCTGGATGTCTTGACCTGACGGATCGCTCACCGTGACAGCAGACAAAGAGACTGATTATAAAATCATGCCGAGATGGCAGAGTTAGTGCGCATCTCCATCTAGTGTTCTCATAGAGGAAGTCTGGCCCCTTTGCTTGCTTTGGAAGTGGGGCAGTGGAACACTCAGAGTGATGCCTAGAGATAGTGCAGGAAGTATCAAATGCACAGATTCATTGTGGTGTCACATACACATTCATGCAAACTCTGTGCATATTACAAGAGACAAGTTCTTTGACACAGACGCTGGACCTCGAGGGTTTTCCACCAAACATCTGGAGCAGCCTGTGCCTCTACTCCTCTGCTCCTTAATGAAGCACCAAGATGATTATTAGTGGATGTTTTAGAGGGAAAAACAGAGGGAGGAGAAAGGAAGGGACAGAAATTAAAGTGGAGTTGGTGAATTGTTTGCTTTTCCTGCTGTTATAAACCCCTCAAAGAACGAGGGGCACCTCCAGTGCTTTAGATCTAAGGAAATTTCACATGCCTAATAAACTTCTTCTACTTTAGATCACAGACACATTTCAGAGGAACACTGTGGGAGGGAGGAGGTTTTAGGGATGTATCCCAGGAAACCATAAAAACAGGTCACAAGTGTTGTGTCCCAGATCTGAGTCTCTGAGGTAAAAGAAAAGAAAAAAATCACCGAAAGTTCAACTCTCCAAGTTTGGAGAGACACTGACAATTAAAAATGTTTTTTTTTCTAACCATAAGGAAAATGTTTTTTTTTGTCAAACTCCTTTTCAGCAAAAAATGCAGTTTCTTGCCAAATTAAAAGATCTATCTTTTTCAACCTGCGCTCCTGATGAGGCAGGTGTGCGATAACGCTGAGTGCTGTTGATGATGATATCTCACATTAAGCAGACTGCAGCATCATCGAGTTTTGTGGTGCGGTTGCTATCG